CTCTTTCCAAAAGAGCTATCTAATGCTAGACTATGGGCAGCCAATGAACATTGTGCTCAAAACCAATATAACCACACTTACTGACAAATATATAATACCTTAACAGCAACAGTGGAAGTTTACACATAAATTAAAAAGACAACAGTCTTTTACCCAGATTGTTTAGTAATCTTAATTTACAAAGCTATACAATGACATTTAAACTCAACAAAGTTAACACATGACTGTAAAAGACAATAGTCTCTTGCCCAGAATGTTTATTAGCAATCTCAATTTATAGCTGTCATTGACAATTAAGCTAAAAAATGTTGGACTTTCAAGTATAATGTGTTCTTAGAGCACAGTCTGGCTAACTGTAACCAGAACACAAAATGAGCAGCTTTATATCAATGCTAAGACTCGTAGTAGTAATATTTCTGTATTTAAAATATAGTCGGGGAAATGTGATTTGCAATTGCATTAATAAATGAAATGGGATCTGAAGATAATCACTGATTAAAACAGAAAATAAAGCTTTAAGTGACAGCACTGGAAGATTTTGGTAGTTTGAAAATTCAATTCATTGAGAATTTAACGGATGTCTACTCCTGGAATTCACCAATCAAATGAAGTTCAAACTAACCATAGAAACAGCTCAACCAATTACACTTCAGTATAGAATCCACCTATCAAATCCTTCTCACTTATAAAGCAAAAGCTTGGCACAGCAACAGCAGCCTGAAAACCACCCAATGGAGTGTATGTAGATTCTACAAGCTCCCCCAGAGGTTCTGATGCTCGTCTGTGGTGGTGCCGAGCAATCTGCATTTTTATTACCTCCAACTCCATGCTCTGATGGAGGAGGTAGTTTTACCATATTTTGAGATACACTGATGCAGAGAATGCCAAACGCAATATAAAATAGATTACTTATGTTACTGATGTTAATTATTCGCACATACCTAAACAAATTATCTTACCTCTGGGCCTTTTGAGTTTTAATCTCAGCATAAACCACAAAGATTTCAAATACATAACCACCCTTAAAATAGTATTTCTCAAAGTTCTGACATCCTGGAGCCAAGAGTAAATTCAAAATGCTTGCCATTTAAGTGAAAATTCCCAACACCCTTTAGCAGCAAAGGACAAGTCTTCGAATCCCTGTCCCTTCACAGACTGGGTATCGTCTTTAAGCACACCTTTGCTCCTTCTAGCCAATCCAGTCCTGTCACTCCCTGCTGCTTCTCCCACTTCACTGCACAAGTCTTTAATGCTGCCTACTCCCACCCTACCTAGGACGCTCTCTTCACTTGCACGTACCTCTTCAGTTCAAGACATTCACTCTAACGTTTCTTTTACATCAGTTGCTGTTTGAAACTGATTACCATTACAGACCTTCAGTCTCATATCTTAATGTCCTGCAACATCCATAAGCCAAACCTTTTCCCCTTAAACATCGTTTTTAATGCAATGCTTAAAATTTTTAAACAGTATAATAGAATGCGCACCAGGCTTTGGAGTCAGATGGGTTCAAATTATAATTCTGTGACCCAAATGGATTCAAATTTCATGTTCTGTGTGTATGGCTTTGAGCAACTTAACCTGACGTCTCAACGGTGAATAAAGATATCCTACCCTTCAGGCTTGTGATTAAATTATATACACACATGCAAAGATTTAGAATTGTTCTTGATACACAGCAGGACTTTCGACTCTTAGAGCTGACCCACCCGCCATTTTACCTGCAAAGCACCAATAGCTGCACTCTGGAAGCGCAGATCTGTTTTGAAGTCCTGAGCAATTTCTCGCACCAGACGCTGGAAGGGAAGTTTGCGAATCAGAAGTTCAGTGGACTTTTGATAACGTCTAATTTCACGGAGTGCCACAGTACCAGGCCTTAAAAAAGAAAGAAAGAAATGGTTACTAAATACATTCAACTCATAAAAGAAGTGGTCAGCCTTAAAGAAATACAGTTATTTTTCAAAAAATAAACCACCCAACTTTTCTTTAGGTTCTGTATGAAATTTCACTTATCAATTTATAAGCTGAATATTCAAGTCTATCAAGAATAACAGTATCCTGGCAAGTTTATTACAGTACTAGTTATTTTATTAATCTTTAACACGTATCACTAACTTCTGTCATAATTACAGATCCAAGGTATTAGGCCACTAATAATGAAGTCAAAACTGTTCAGGCTCCTCACTATATGGCACCACTTGAACTCTCAATTCTTCCATAAGACCTACCAACACAACCCAGTGAGCTTCATTTAAAAATACACTTGTGGTGTTTAAGTTTGATTTCCCAGAAAACCCTACTACTGCCCTTTCCTCATATATGATTACATTTGAATACTCCTGATGGTGGAAATACCACAAAATGGGATTTTTTACTACGTAATTGTCAGTGTGAAATTTACCTCAACTCTGACTTATTTCTTCCACTGTATGAGCTTTTATTTTAGGCTGACAGTAAAATTATTTGCAGACTACCTAAGTACGGACAACTTATGCCCTCTAATGGCAGATGCCCTTAACGACAATGCTCGGGGTAGCTCAAAACCAAATGCTAAGAGGAAATAAACCAATTCAAGCAAATGAGGGATGGGAACTTGACTAAAACAAATGCCCGCAATCTTGATTATTACTTTGCCAAAAGCGAGAATATCCTCAAAATGTATTTTAAAATAACATTTAAAAAAATATTTCTAATGGCTAAGTAAAATGTTAATTCTATTAACATTAGTGATGTAATAGGTCTCCTTTGGGCTATGGGCAAGATTATGGCTTCGAAATTAAACAGGTTCTCAATAAAACCTAACCTTAAATTTCATAAAATTTAAAATTTTATTAGTAAATATTCAAAAAAGGGAAAACATCAGTTTCTCCAAAGCAAAAGTTTGCTTACTCTACACCTTTTTGTTAGATTATATGGATGCTGCTTCAGGAGAGATTCTGTCCCATTATTTTCCTCTTATTTTTAATACCTGTAACGATGAGGTTTCTTCACCCCTCCAGTAGAGGGCGCACTCTTGCGAGCGGCTTTTGTAGCCAGTTGCTTCCTCGGTGCTTTACCACCGGTCGATTTGCGGGCAGTCTGCTTTGTACGAGCCATGGTATAGGACCTCCTTACTTACCTACCAGCATCAAAAAACAAAAACAAAAAACAAAAATCACCACATGCAACTACCAAACATACAAGTTTTCCTGCCACTACCCCCCACCCCCAAAATCTGGACATATGATCAGAATAAAAAAATGACTGTAATGTTACGTAATTTGAAAGGGTGCAGATTACGTTTACCACCCAAATGCGACTTCTTGAAACAAACTGTAGTACTAGAAAATTGTTAACATTAAACACCAATCATCTCTCAAAATGCGAAATCTGAGCGACAAACGGCAAAACAAAAAGACCCCTAACAGTCTTTGCTTCGATTCCTTTAATTAAAGCAGAAATTAGAAATGTCTGTAAACATTCGATCCATAAACAAGTCAAAAGGACGAAGCCACAAACCACAAAAAGGTCGAGTCAAATTACAGCAAAAAAGGTTTTAGCGCCCCCCCTCCCCAGTCCCCTCCCTGGCGTCTGGCA